TGGGAGCCCCCCCGGCTGCGGGCGAGGAGCTGTCGGGTGAGCGGGGGAGTGGGAAAGGGGGGGAAAGAGGGGAGAAAAGAGGGGGTGGGAGCCCCAAAAAAGTGAGCGCGAGGTGGGTTGGAAGGCCCGGAGTGAGTGGGAGGGGGGTGGGAGCCCCTAAGTGAAGGCGGGGGGCTCTGGGGATTGGGGAGACGGTGGGAAAAGGGGTGGGAGAGGGGGACAAGGGGGTGTGGGAGAGCAGACAGAGGGGTGCCCTGGGGATCCCTGGGTGTCTCTCGAGCCCTGGAGCGGTTCCCTGAGGCTGGGGTGGAGTCGAATCCGCATTGGGGGGTCCCCAATCCCCTTGTCCATCCCCGGGGGCTGATGGGGGGCTTCCCCCCAGCCAAGAGCCGGTGCTGGGGTGGCTGTGGGGTAGAGGGGTGTGGGAAAGGGGGATCCGGGGTGGCCCCCTGAGCTCCCACCCTGCTGTGGGGGGCCAGGGGATGATGGGGGGGACGGGGCACCCCCTGACCCGTGTCCTGCACACACAGGGGTGTTCCAGGAGATGTTTAAGGTCGAGTGTCACTTCATCAATGGCACCGAGCAGGTGATGCTCGTGAACAGGTACATCTACAACCGGGAGCAGTACGTGCATTTTGACAGCAATGTGGGGGTCCATGTGGGGGACACCCCATATGGGGAGAAGTTTGCCAGGGACCTGAACAGCCAACCAGAATTCATGGAGCACACACGGTCTGCGGTGGACACAGTCTGCCGGCACAACTACGAGTTGTCCACCCCATTCCTGGTGAACCGCAGAGGTGAGCGTGGGGCAGAGCGGGTCCCAACAGGCCCTGCCCCAGGAGTGACCCTGGAGCCCCTCAAAGCCTCCCTGGGAATCACCCCAAACCCCTCAGCCCTCCCTGTGTCATCCCCGTGCCATTTGGACCCCTCCCATTTCCTCTCAGTCCATCTGAGTCTCTCCCAGTCCATCCCAGTCTCTCCCAGTGCCCCCCCCCGCGTCTCCATCCCGCTGGGGCCACCGAGCTCACGCCCCTCAGCCAATCCCAGCGCGTCTTTTTGATGACGCTCCAGTTGCCAGGCAGACCCAAACCAAAGACTTCCCTCCCCACGACTCAGCCTCCCAGTCCCGATCGCTTCCTTCCCAGTCCAGACCAGTCATTCACAGTCATTCCCTGTCCCTCTCACTCCACTCCCAGACCCTTTTTCACTTTACTCCCAGACCCTCTCAGTCCCTTCCCAGTCGTTCTCACTTCACTCCCACATCTCCCAACTCTCTCCCCAGTGCCCCCCCAGCCCCTCCCCTTCTACCCCACTCTATTCCCGCTCCCTCCCACTGCCATCCCAGTCCCTCCCAATGTCCTCCAAGCCCTCTGCCCTCCCTCCCAGTGCCCCCCAGCTCAGCCCAGTGTCTCCCCCGTCCCTCCCAGTGCCCCCCAGCGTGTCCATCTCGCTGGTGCCGTCGAGCTCCCAGCCCGGCCCC